TGGGAGAAAGATGAGGCAGTCTACTTCCATAAAGATTTACAGCTTTGAAAACCCTTTGGGGTGGTTCTACTCTGTCCTATAGGGTTGCTATGAGTCAGAATTGACTCAATGGCAGTGGATTTGGTTCTTGGTTTTATATATAAATAAGTGGGAGTTTTGGTGGTGTAGTGCCTAAAGCATTTGACTACTAACCAGAGGCTGGTGGTTCAAACCTACCAGCCACTCCTCGGAGGGAAGACTGGGCAATCTACTTCCATAGAGATACTGCCTCAGAAACCCAAGGGGGGAGGGGTGTCACTATGAGTCAGATCTGACTTGACGGCAGTAAGAGTTTTATAGAAATAAATAAGTGTTTCATTGTTCTGTTTCTGTAGAGAACCCTAATACACTAGCTAAGCAATCTCTCATGTGTATCATGCTTTACAGCACACAAAGAACATGCTCAGCTCGAGTCTCAACTGATTCTCACTACGGTTTTGTGATATAACCACAGCAGTTCTTATCCCTACATTGCAGATGACAGAGGTTCTGAGATTAAATGGTTGTGAGTGAACCTGCAGTTGGTGGAAGAACTATAGCTAAAGCCAGGACTTCTGATACTCAGTTCAGTGTTCCTGCCACTGTGCATCCTGCCTAGCTCCATTCCCATAGTTCTTATGGAGTCAGGGAGAAGTCCTCCTTGACCTTCACATACTCATCATCTCTGAAAGGAAGTCAGTACAGAGAAAGCGGCCTTTGGGCTTCATCTGCACTGTCTGTATTTACTTCCATGGGTAGAAAGATAGGCGCACTCTTCCGCTGATAACTTCTCCATGGCTCCTAGCTGTCCTCTGAAGACATCATTGGCAGAAAGTCAGGAGGACAGAGTTAAGATAGATATGAGAGAAGGCACACATCTCCAGGTCCTTAGAAAAACATCAGCGTGGTTAGAAGAGAGTACTAATATTTCAGTATCATTGTGTCTTTTTTCATATGTTCTTATGAAATCCTGAAATAACCCATAGGAGGCAATACTTTTCCCTTCAACTTGACATAGCCATGAGTGGTAGCCTTGATTCAGTCCTAGACTCATTTTTCCTTTCAATCTCAGGAAGGCCCCAAAGGAAAGCATCTGCTGATGGGGTGAGAATCTCTGGGATCCTAAGATCCTAAGATCAACATTGATGCTGTGGACATTTTGGGCCAGATAATTATGTGTTGTTGGGGATTGACCTGTGCATTGTAGGATGTTAAGAAGCATCTCTGGTTGTGACAACCCAAAATATCTCCAAAAACAGTCAAACATACTTTAGAGGACAAAATCACCCCAAAGTGACTTAGAAGGCTGTAGAATGTTTCCAATAGGCAAGTGTTTCAGTATACTTGACCAGGGACACGGAAACCAGTGAAGTGTAGTAGGGCTCAGGAGATGGTGTTCTTGACAAATAGAAATGGCTTGAACTAAAAAGTTGATGACTAAGATTTTCCTGGGGGATTTTAATTATTAAAGGCTTTATACACAGAGATGATATAAAGCAAGTAGAAGGTTTAAATTACATAGATGTCACACGTGTGACTTACCAGATATTTTTGTGGTTTCTTCTTGATTCCTGTGAAGTATCCTGCCAGAATAAACTGTCAAGAAGACAAGAGATTAATGCTAATGGGTGATGTATTTGATTACCTTACAAAAGTGACATAAAGTGACCAGTATCACCTAGGGTAAATGAGAACTCTGTCACTCAAAGCTGAGGTACTTGATCTCGTTAAAGTTCTGGGCATGGGAAGAACTCCTGTGGGAATGAGTGTTGGATCTTGGGCATCTCTGAGTCTTGGAACCTGAGGACCTCAAGGTGGTGATGCAGAGAGCTAAAAGACACCTTTGATACCTCCCTCCACTTCAGTCTCCACATTGGGCCACCCTGTACTATCAGTTCTTCCTCTGAGTCACTCTCAAAATTGTCCTTCTCTCTGCAGTGGAGACTGCTGCCTCACTAGTCCTCCTCTCCCTTGGATTATTGCAACCCTCTCCCAATCGATGTTCCCAAGTCTGCTGTTATCATCATTAAATTTGCTTCCACTCAGAAAAAAAAATGATATTTTAAAATAGCAAATCTTCAAATATCATCACTGTCTTGAAAAATTGGCAGGGGATGCCCCTTGCTCTTGTATTAAAGTCTCACATTCTTAATATGACCACAAGGGCTGGCATGATCTGGTTCTGGTCACATTTTTTGGCTCCATTTTATGTCTCTATCATGGATTCACTGGTTTTCTTACTGTTACTTTTCCCACATCAAGCCCTCACTGTGCTCATGCTTTGCCCTTCCCTAGGATGCTTCTGGAATGCTCCTTAAAAGTGAGAATGGCCAGACTTTGTCTCACCTACTCTGCTCATGTTGTCAGAAGGGACTGTCCCCTGGAGAAGGATATCATGCTTGATAAAGTAGAGGGTCAGCAAAAAAAAGGGGAAGACCCTCAATGAGATGGCACATTGGCTGCAACGATGGGCTCCAGCATAGCAATGATGATGAGGATGGTGTAAGACTGGGCAGTGTTTTGTACTGTTGTATACAGGGTCACTATGATTTGGAGCCAACTCGACAGCATCTAACAACAACAGGATGCTTCCACTTCCCCCAGGGAACACCTATGCATAAACTATTCCCCTGATCTCCCGACCAGGTGAGTACCCCCTTCAGCCCTCACAGGGTGTCTGAAACTTCTCTCCTAAAGCACTTAGCACAAGTGTAAAAGTGTATCTGCAGTTATTTTTACTTTTTCATTTCTAGTCTCCCCACTAGGTGGCAAATCATGGGAGAGCAATTCACCACTTCCTGCAGACAGGGCCTAGTTTACCAGTACTCCCAGCACTTAGGACATGCAGATCACGTAGAGGCAAACTGGGAAAATTCTGTTGTAAAACAGGAGAAGTGAGGAGTTGGTATATTTGAATTTCTACAGTGGGGCATTTACAGTTTGAAAATCATATTCAGCAATGTATTATTTACATTTGGAAAGTGAGAATTCTACTAGTTTTTTTGTGAAATTAAAGTTACAGAAAAGGCATGGAATTTTTATACATGCCAAAATAGGGTATGAGTTTTTCATAGTCAAAGAGAAAATGATTTCATTTATTCATTATATCATCCTTTTGTTATTGATTGATTGATTGGTTCATGCCAACTAGGTTCTGAGAATACAACAGCCTTTGGAAAAGACAACATCTTTGCCCTCCTGAGAGGGTACATTCTCGGGGGGAAGCTCTAATGAGTCAGGTCTACCCTTAAAATATGGCATGACATCAGAGGCCAGGGTTGTGGAGATTGGATAGAAATATCACTGTACTAAAAATTATGTCTCCATTATTAAATAGATGAGTGACACTCCTACAGTTTTCTTGAGGCTAAGAAAAGGTTAGGAGTTCTTGTGGCATAGTGCCTAAGGTATGTGACTGCTAACCAGAAGGGTGGTGGTTCAAACCCACCAGTCACTCCTCGGGAGGAAGACTGGACAATCTACTTCCATAGAGATACTGCCTTGGAAACCCAAGGAGGCGTCTCTATTAAGTCAAATTGACTTGTAAGAAAAGGTTGAATTATATAATCTTAAATTCACCTTAAGCTATGAGAATTCATGTCACTACAAGCGCTAGCTAGATACGTTTAACTTTTTCAAACTGTTTATTTATTATTTGCCAATAAGAAGTTAGAATATTTGCCCATATTTTCTTCTAGGTTGGTAGAGAGGAGGGGAATTACTTACTATACACGTAAGGGCCTTGGAAGCTTTTAGGCACTGTCCACCCAAGAGGAATTAGGATGCTGGTGGTGGGAATACACTGGCCAAATGGCAGTGCTTCTTTTGCCGTGGAGAGGATTGGGTTTCAGTCTCGTCAGGGAACCATATTCATATTTCACGTCTGAGGCATTTCAAACCAGTTTTTATAGCAATTTCTCAAAAGCTTCTAAATTGATAGTACTCACGGTGAATGCTCCCCAGAATGGATATCCTGTGAGGAAAACGAGGGGAAATCTTTGGGAGAATCTGACAAAATTAAATGTAATTATAGTTCCGAGGCCAGCAATGATCAGAGCGAGCAGAATCTGGACAGCCTGTGAGGAGAGGAATGGGGACATGAGCCCACAAGTGCTTGCACCCCATTGGATGCCCCATGTCCCTCAGGCATGGACTTTCCTGCCTTTGTGCTTTTGCCCACATGTCCCCCTTCACTGGGGAAAGTTTCATTTTCAACCTCTTCCCTTGACCAAACTGTAGGATAGTTAGAAGCAGCCCTGGTGTGGCACAGTGGTTAAGGACTTAGCTGCTAACCAAAAGCTTGAAGGTTCACACCTGCCTAGCAGCTCCGTGGGGGAAAAAAAAGACCTAGTGATCTGCTCCCATAAAGATTACAGCCTAGGAGACTCTACGAAGCAGTTCTACTCTGTCCTATAGGGTTGCTGTGAGTGGGAGTCAACTTGACAGCACCCAACAAGAGGATGGTCAGTAGTGTCCTTTCAGATACCTCTTCTCCATTATGGTTGCTTGGGTCATTGAGATTCAAATATTTCACTCTTATGCCTCACTACATACTACTGTATTCTCCTTGGTATTACCAATATATCTCACATCAGCCAGGTTCCAGTGCCTGTCTGACTCTGCTCCTAGATCATAAGCTTCTTGAGAACAAGGGCTACAAACTATTCACTTGTTATTATCCCTTCTGCATCACCAGCATTCTATTACTATCCTTACCCCCAACACACACACACACATTGTACACATTCAATATTTGCTTCTGGAATTGAGTTTAGCTCACTATCTAAAAGTTTATGAAGATCACTGACATAGAGTGATGTTCTGGTTACCTAGTGCCACTCTGACAAGAATATACCACAAATGGGATGGTATTAACGAACGGGAGTTTATTCTCTTACAGTCTGGAGGCTTTAAGTCCAAGTTCAAAGTGCCAGGCTCTAGGGGCTGCGTGGAAGCCCCTCAACCTTGGGCTTCAGCTCTGTCTCTTGCTCCCGGCCCACTGGAGCTAGAGG